AGACGTTTGGGCACGGAGGTGAAAAAAAACAGCGTTTCAGGCGGTCGCACACCGGACGAGAAGCGCAGCTTCGCGCCACGTCTTTAAAATTCAAATACATTATTTTCTATGAGTGCAGGCACACCGGCGGAGCCGTTCGGCGTCTGTCCGCGGCGCACAGCTAACGTTACGTCGTGTTGTACTTGTAAGAATTGTAGACATGCCAAAAATGTGAAGCTACAGCACAGCAGCTCTTCTTCTTGGTTTTCTCTGATGCACTAACTGCAGCAGCACTTCTTCTTCGTCGTCTCGTCTGATGCACTCACTCAACCAAGCGTTCTAACCACAACCTCGCCCCTCCCCACCCCCCAACCATTCGAATTTCTGTAGGCGGGAATTATTTGTAATGAAATTCTAATGAGCCGCTTTGTGATATCACAAAGCCCGGAAAACAAACGCTGTAGTCCAAACGAGCCATTCGCTGTAGTTCTTGAAAAGGGATTTTTAAAAAACTAAATATCTCCCTTTGGAGTGGACTTTGAGATTTGTAACTTTCTAGATCTTTTTAATGCCCAAACATACACACTACACACTGACTAAAATTAATAAAGTGAAAAAGCATAATAGGACCCCTTTAACAGCTTTTTTGAAGGCGGGAGGCAGCTAACAGATTGCTGGAAGCTCTTTTTTTCTCCTTCTTTCTGCTGAAGTAATTTTTAAGAGATTGCATAGTATATAGCTGCTTATTTATATGATCAAACTTTGGATGAAATAACAAGTCCAATTTTTTCTGTTGATTTGGAATGCTGGAAGTGGGTTTTCTCTCGTTTTAAGCTTGCCAGAAGCAGGTTTCGTTTTCGTTAAAATGCAGTGGGGTCCAAACGAAAATGCGTGTTTTTTAAACACAGCATAATTATTTTTTGCAAGAATAACTGGCTTACTAACTGTATTTTGCTTGTTACAAGGCTACACCCGAAATAAATATGTGGACATGAAATATTGATATGGAATTATTTTACAATCCTACCTGTAAATTATCTTCAGGTGTCCGCTATGAAAAAAATAGTCCACTACAACGTACAAAACAATCGGACTAGCATCGAGACGAATGCTGAAACAATATTAATGTGATATTAATACTGCTCTGCCTCTGAGGTAATTTTCAGTAGGCTACAATCGATAACTGAGACACACAATGGCGACAGTTGCGTTTGTATAAAACAAAAGAGCGCGGGAGAAAGTAGCGCCGGTTTTATTTGCGCGGATGAGCGGAATGATACGCAACCGCTGGATGCCGCGATCGACCAATTAGAATCAAGTATTCAGAGCGTCGTGTAATAAAATGTACAAAAAACAAACAAAACAAAAAACAATTTGAGTGAAAAGTTGAAATAAAAAAATTTAATATGAATTTCAAAGTTCAATGAAAGCAATGAAATCTGACAGTTTGTACAAATTAATTAACATGGTCAATTTTAAAATGTTAAATATTTCATATTTATTTTACTTTTTTTCAGATTAAAGGTTATTCAATAATAATAAAAAAAAAAAATCCCAGATGCATCATCAGTCTTTTGGACTCTGTATATATTATGGCTGTGATCACTAGATGTTTGAACCATCTGCTCTGCCAATGTAGCCTATTACTTGCACTACAGCTGAGGTGAATAATAATACAAATCAGCTAATTCCAAGTCATACATTTTACATTTTGAATCCTTCAGCAAGTTTGTCCTGTGTTTGTCTTCTCTTTGAAGACAGTTTGGCTTTATGGGTATTAATCTGAAGGCTGAAGTAATTTTTTTATGAACTAGTTAGTGTGCATAACTTGCTTTTGATAACAAATGTGCTTTTTCAATAAAACACTGTGTTGAACTGCCTTTCAACCTATTGTATGGGATTACTTTGTTGTTGCTTTTTCCAATAAATGTTTTAAAATGTGTCTTATGAAATGGACAACTCTCTGTCTTCAACTCTGGGTCCACGTCAACACATAAATGCCTTTCAGCACAATTTGGACGTCACAAAAGACAGAATGAGGCCAATGCAGATGAGAAGAACAAGTGGACAACCTATCTCAGTAAAAACAAATACATGCATCCTTGACAAATACACTTTATGTGACTTGACCCATTGTCAATGTAAAGACACTCTATGCTGTAATCTATAAGAGAAGCACAAATGATTGGATATGAAAGCAGTAGTTTGTGTAGATTTATATCATATATGAATGAATAAAAACGTAAATGTCAAATTTTTTCTTTGACATTTCAGGAACTGTGTAAAGTGAATAACCTTCAGTGATCAGGAATGGGAAAACATTGTAGGAGGTCATCACTTTCAGGTAAGAAAAATTGGAAAAAAAACAAAAGATGTATAGATAATGCATAACCTTTCTCTTGTGCTCAGCAATAATATTCAAATGTAATTGAGTGAACAGGTTCAGC